TCCACTGAGGGAATGTCCCACTCTCCCACCTTCTTCAAGCTAAAAGATTAGAATTATATCTCTGAGAATCCATAGATCAAACATTAAAATACTCAGTGACTGAAAATAAAGCCTCCTTGAAGAGAACCTTAAGTGGTTCCTCTGAGATTGGTTCTTGAAGACTTAAATCATACCTCTTCCTGGGAGACTCTCTAGGTGGAGGCATCAGAGGACTGAAGATTCTCAGAGCAACGACAGGGTTCTGGGAGCAGCCCTGTACAACATGCAGATACACTTGCATGTTCAACATTCTTTGAATGTATCCTTGTTATGTTCACCCAACACAATGAGTGAGAAGAAAGAGGCTGAGAACGGTAAGAGGTGGCCCACCTATCCAAACCTACACCTCTGTTCTGCTTTGGTGCTGAACATTACCTTATGGGACTATGTTGTACTATATTGGTCCTCAGTGCTTCACTGTGTCCCCTTGACCTTTTGAGGCCAGGGCCTTCATGACCATTGGGATTTTCTCCTGTTGTGTCAGGGTCATGGGCCTGAAGGGCACCCTGGAGCAGAACATCCTAAAGGTCATTGTTAGACAGTGTACGCAGTGTACACAACACTTGATAAAGACACAAGTTTAATTGGTGCAATCTCCTCTCTGTCTTCAACTAAAAATGAAGAAAGAAAGAAAATGAAAAAAGGAGAGCTAGAGGAAGAAGGAAGGAAAGGACAAAGGAAGAATGGGAGGGAAAGAAGGAGAATGATATGCTGATTGATTCATGTGTGTAAATATACTCAATGGAATATTTCTGGCAAAAATGCACAAATAATTGCAATCATTGTTTCACTTACTATTACATGAGCAATTTTGTGACATATCTATTTAGACAACAAGAAAACAAATACAGTCAACTTGCAAAGCAGAAAAACTCTAAGAATAAAAGAAAGAAAGAAAGAAAGAAAGAAAGAAAGAAAGAAAGAAACTCAAAGAAACCCATGTTTATTAAAGCCAAAAATAAGCACATGATGGCTGATAATTTTAGCTTACCTTGAACATGAAGTGGATGTTCCTTTCAAGTAAGACTTTTCTAAGTTGAACCCAAACCAGTGACTTACATAGCACAACCTAGAAGCTTAGGAAAGGGACTTATAACTTCCCAAAACTCTTCCAGCTCTGGTTCTTAACCAAGACATTAGTGTGTATAAAAATTTCTTAGCAGAGTCCTAAAGTGATTTTGGTAGGATGATCCCACCTGGGGCATGGAACCAGAAAGAAGGAAAAGTACACTAGGGGCAGAGAGACTGTCTCCAGCTTTTTCTGTCTGTGAGATATTTGAGTGGGCAGGTACTGGCCTGGGCTCCAGCTGAAGCCAGCATGTTTGCCACCAGATTCCCACTAAAGTGGGCCCAGGCGACCATTATCCTATCTCCAGTACCCTGTGGCCAGTTAATTCGATTATGCTACCCTCTGGAGAACATGTGGCCAATCACTCTCCAGGAAAGAAAGAAAACAGAAAGAGGAATTAAATTTGCTGAAAAGCCCAGTCTTTGAGTGAAGCAAGATGGCACTTATTAATTGCTCAAGACTATTAATTGGATGGGAAAGGGTGAGCTGTCTGACAGAAACAAATCTGATGCATGCACATCTCACACACACATACAAGGCAACAGGCGCAACATACACCTGCCTCAATGAATTTCTTTACAAAAGGGGTGCACTGTGCAACCCCAGAGCAGATGGAAGGGGATGCTGACCAGTGTGTACATATGGCACAGATGATTTCCCCAACTTTTCTTTCAGAGGAACAGCTTTTTTTTTTTTTTTTTAAGTTGAGACGAGGTAGGAGGGAGCAGTTGGCCAAGTGAAGTCTCCCTGGGGTCCAGAATGCTGGTGTGGGTAGTCAGCATAGGGAAAGGAGGAGCACTTTCCAAAGGAGAGAGGCTGCCAAACTAAAAGGGGTATGCTGTATTCGTTCTAAAGATCTCAAATACAGATAAAGGATACTCTCTGTGATCTTTAGTCTTCTCTGAGTCCAAGGATACTAAAAAATCACAATAAGTGAAATACACCAAATGCCCTTTGCCTTGGTAGTTAAACATCACTTCAGAAAAGGGGGATGGGTACATTGATAGTAACTGAGTAATGTCCTCCAGTATTCAGGTGGAAAGGCAACTGGAGGTCATTCCACGGGATACTCTAGGCTCCGGGCCAGAGCTCATTACCGAGAGTGTCACAAGGCTACAACTTCTGAGTGCAGGATTTCATGTGGCTCTCTTCCTCCTGGATCATCTCATCTGCTGGGACAGCAAAGGAAGCAGGCAGCCTCCCTGTCCTGAGCCTCTTGGTTGTTCCCAGGGGGAGACGATTTTGCATCTGTTGTTCAGACCTAAGCTGAAAGGACAAGGTCCCTTCACCTTCCATGAAGATATATGACAGCAGATATATGACTAGGGTAAGAAGTTATTGCTTGTCAGAGAAGGTGCCATCTTTTTCTATTTGAGCTCATACTACCTGGGGTGCCAATATTATCCAGCAAGAAAAGTAAACCTGGCCATTCACAACTTAATGTGGGTGCTCTACGTATTATTCTAAGAAGCAGAGTTGAATTTTCTCAGGATGGAATTTCTGGGATAAGATTGTGATTGGTGTCAGACCCCAACTTCCAAGGGTGATTAGATGGTTTTCTGTCTTCTGTGGATAAACTTAAAGGCCTAAATGAACTAGCAAACAAAGACTACCAGACAAGAATTTTGAGATTCAGTCCTCACTGCCAACCACCACTCATCTTAGCCTTCTTAGTTGAATAGGGGTTTTTCATCTTCATTAGATTAAAATATGGAATTTTAAGAATTAGAAATTAGGGGGCTGTATACCTTGAAATAAGGAGCAAGAGTTGGCTGCTGACCCCTGCACAGGGGCTGGAGCATCTCGGATCTCCATTTCAGACAATGCATTCCAATTCTTGTCATGTGCCTTTGTCCATTTGTATAAAGCAAAGAGCCCTGAGTGACAGCCCCAGTTAGCCTGAACAGATCCTAGTAAACCTTCCCAAACCCCGACCTAAAAACAACAAAAAAAAAGCCACATGTCTATTTGCCTGCGGCTTATTATTAAGACACCTTCTCGGCTTAAACACTTAAAAGCCAACCAAATGAAACAGCAATTAAGGCTGAATTACCCCCTCTATCTCTGAGATGAGTCTGTGGGGCCAGCTAGTTCTTAGGAGATAGACAGGGCTGGAGGCTGGACCTTGCAAAGTCTGTCTTGCCAGCTCGAACCCACTGCTACCCCCTTCAGGCACTCGACAACTTATGGAGAAAGCTAAATTTTGAAGAAAGTAAACCTCAAAACCTGTTTGAAAGTCGAGAAATCCACCGAAGAAATGGAGATAAGTACATGCACTGCCTACCTCCTGCCCTCTCTGTAAAATATAACTCTAAATCTTGTAAGGGTTGTTTAGGGGAAACAGTGTTCAGATACCTGGTTTTAATGTTAGATGGTCTACACCCTCCAACACGCACACTTCCAACCGGCACTGTTTACAAAAGGGGAAAGAAAACACAAAAGAGGATAAAAATGGGTTGGGTAGGGAAATGAAAGACAACATTTACCTAAATGTAGAATCTTGTCACACATCTTTATTTGCTTGCATTTTTCTTAAATTTATCACCAGTTACCTTACTTCTTTATGATCAAAACTTGGGGCAGTCCATTATGATTATTTATTTTTAAAAGCTGCTGAAAAGTGTAAGCCACCGACTCGTGTTGCTTTCAAAAGGGGGAAAGAACCCAAATTCGATGTAAATATAGAAGGAGCAGTATTGTCTCTACTTGGGCGAAGGCAGCCACCCCAATCTGGGAAAAATTGATATGGGTGCTTGTTGGAAAAATCAGCTTTCAGCATCCAGGGATTGGAACCAATAGGAATGAACACTTGCCCATGTTAAAGGAAGCTTTAATTAATATATATTTCTATCTCTAATATACACATATTGGGGCTAGATCACTATCTTCGCAATAAAATGTGTGTTAATGCTCTCGGCAGAGATGAGTCCCCACCTCAGTCTGTATAGAAAAGCATGATAAAGGTTGGAAAAAATGGATAAAAATGTTGAAAGAACCTCCAGTTCCTTATTAGGCGAAGATACAATATTTATTCCTTGTCTCCTGGGATAAATCTCTTCTGCCTATTGTCCTCCCAGTTCTCAGTGCTGATGCTTAATTTTCAAAACTTCTATATTACCAAGGGACCTACGACATCAGCCAAAGAAATACTCAGCAAGTACAAAATCTGTTCCAGGGAGCTGCTTTTGTGCAGAGGGAAAATTTTGTTCCTACAGGTTTTTAAGTGGGTACAAGGCAAGGAGCCATCTGATCCGGGCAAAACCGTTACAATTTAGATCTCTATCTATAGAACATTTTTTTTCCTTAAAAAATTGGAAAATACAAGAAGTTTGGATTTTTTTTTCCAGATTCTTTTTTTGGAGGGGGAAATTGCATCGTAAGCTTTTGGAGAAACCCAACATGTCAACTACCTTTCCGGGACTAGTCCACGACGCCGAGGTATTATTACTTTTTTTTTTTTTTTTTTTTTGAGCGCGCGTGTGTGTGGCGGCGGTGGCGGCGGCGGTGGCGGCAGCTTCCCGTCTCTAATCTATATTGGACCGTTGCGTTTAATTATAATCTGGCTTTCCGGGGAAGTTAAGGAAGGGAAGGGGAGAAAGTTCGTTATGACATCTGTCGCCAGGAAGGGCAACTCTCTGCCACGTTAAGAAACATTTGCCATAATGAGGGAGAAAACATAATCCTAATAATAAGGGTGGGGGGGAGTGAGGAGAAAGAGATAGAAAAGGATGCTCGGGAAGGCAAAGAAGAAGGACTGATGGGGGGCGGTAGGTGGACAAAGGGGGGTGGGGAACAGCGCACCCTTTTTGGAATGGGCTTATTCAAGGAAAGGGAAACAGATAAGGAGGGGTCGGATTCCCTCCCCCAGATGGCTAAGGAAGTGAGCAAGTTGGACAGTTTGCAGACTGGATTTTTGTTTTAATGTCTGGACAGTGATTTTTGAGCGGTCCTGGCCGAACACCTCGGCATGGCCGCGCGCGGCTCTCGGTGCCGGGATCCGGGTGGAGCGGCCAGGCGGGGGCCAGCGCTGCCTGCGCGTGGACCGTGGTGCTCCCCGCCGCCCGGAATGGGCTGCAGAGCTGGCTCCTAACTCCCAGCTCCCTGAGCAAGTTGGGCAGGGGCAGGGTGTGTGCGTGTGTCTGTGTGTGCGTGTGTCTGTGTGTATGCGTGTGTGCGCGTGTGATGTCGCCCGCACCTATATAGGGTGGGGGATTTTTTTCCCGCTCTCTCGGCTGGGAGGACGTGGCCGCCCACCCCCAGCTCGCCTGCTCGCAGAGGCTCTCCGGCAAGGCGACGCGCCCCGGCCGCGGTGCCATCCCAGCCCCGCGCGCCCCTCTCCGCGGAGAGCCAGGAAAGCCTCCTGGCTCCGGGAGAGTGGCGCTTTGGTTGCAAAATGACAAACCTCAAGTTTTTCTGCTCTCCCTTTTCCCCCTCTTCCTTCCAGATACGTCACGACGGATCAAACAGCTACCGTTTGATGCAGCTTGGCTGTCTGGAGTCCGTAGCCAATTCCACTGTCGCCTATTCCTCCTCCTCTCCTCTAACTTACTCTACCACCGGCACCGAGTTTGCGTCCCCCTACTTCTCCACTAACCACCAGTACACCCCGCTGCACCACCAGTCCTTCCATTACGAGTTTCAGCACAGCCACCCGGCGGTCACCCCCGACGCCTACTCTCTGAACTCGCTGCACCACTCGCAGCAGTACTACCAGCAGATCCACCACGGGGAGCCCGCCGACTTTATTAACCTGCACAATGCGCGGGCGCTCAAGTCCTCCTGCCTGGATGAGCAGAGGCGGGAGCTGGGCTGCCTCGATGCCTACCGTCGCCACGACCTGTCCCTCATGAGCCACGGCTCTCAGTATGGAATGCACCCAGATCAAAGACTCCTGCCAGGGCCCAGCCTGGGGCTGGCCACCGCGGGAGCGGACGACTTGCAGGTAAATAGCGTGCAGCGCGGCGTCTGTCTGCGCCCTCCCCTCTTCGCCCTCCCCCTCCCGCCCCATTAATACCCTGACTGTAAGCTTCAAGTCCTCAATCTCTCTCTCTCTCTCTCTCTCTCTCTCTCTGACTCCCCCCACACACACACACACTCTCTGTCACACACACACCCCACTTAGGGAAAGTTATCAAAACAAAACAATTAGAGTAGCTTGGCCACTCTGTCCTTCTCATTGAGTCCAGGCAATTCACCCACTCGCGGTGGTCCGACTAGCTTCGGGCACCTACCTTAACCAGTTATCACTGAAGTCTCCTGGCAACCCTCATTTCTGACCTTAAGGGTGGGTGAGCTAGAGAGAAGAGGCTGGGTTTCAGTTCCCCAGACTCACTGGAAACCAGTGAGTTGACAACAAATGCGGTCATTAGTTTCTGCACTTCAGAGGGTCTATGCTTCTGTTCCTGGTCGTGTTTTGTTTTGCTTTGTTTTGTGTTCTTTTCCCCAGTTTGAGCTTCTGGGGATTTTACTATAAATGAGAGAGAGGGTGTTCTTGCAAAATTGAGCTCGAGCAAGTTTGACCAAAAATACTAGATTGCTATGTAAAGTGCAAAACCACAAATGAAAGCCTCAAAAAACTGCATCAATGAAAGAATCTGTACAAAGCGCTTGCCCAAGGTATAGCACTGAGTCCAAGTCTGCCCGATGTGTGCCTAAATCCACAGCCCACAGCCCACAGCCCACAGATAATCCACATTTTTATTTTTTCTCTTATGGAAATTTTATATTGCATGCAGCTCCTTTAAAAGACAGAGATGAGGAAATAAAGGAAGTGAGACAAGAAGAGAAGGGGAAAAAGAAAGGAAGGAGAAAAAGAAAATGAAAGAAGTGTACAGAGACGAAAGGAAAGAAAGGAGAGAGGGGGAAAAGAAGACAAAGAATACTGTAGAGGCCATCACACAAAAAGATCTCCTGCTTTCTGTTTTAATGCATTTTTCCACATTCTTTGCCTACAATAAAAACTGTGCAATCGTATTGTCTTAGGCATATTACAAACCAATAAGCTCACAAATGCCTAGAATGAGAATAAAAAAGACTCAGATTTATGACATCTTTTTACAGGCAGTAGTACACTTCCTCCTGTGAGTGTCTGCTTCTTCAGTCCCTGTAACTGTGGCCACTTCCTCAGCGTTCTCCTAGAGGAACAGGGAGGTATATTCCCAGGCATAAGTTGGAGACGTAAGAGATCCCTTGTTGCGCACAGAATATCTTTTCCCTTTATTTACCTAGGAGCAAGGGGTTACTTTTAAATTAAAGTGAACACCCTGACAGTTCCAACAAAGGACCCTAGCCATTACTTCTAGGCACAAGGAGAAAGATTTGTCTCCATAAACCTTGACTTTCTACACTTATATTCACAGAATGATTTCATATGCTCAGTGCATTTTTACATTTTCACAAGGATCTCCTTATGTCTCAAGGGGGCAAAAAATCTGCCATTCAATGCTTAGCTCAACTAAAACCTATTTACTCCTTTTAATAGCCACGTCTGCTGCTGATTTTTTTGTATCTGTACAAATTTTTTTTCTGTGTGAGGCACAAAGCCGGGCATTTTTCAAAAGAGGGGATTAGAACATTTGCAAGCACCAGACAAAGAAAGAATCCTGTGCAAAAGGACACCGTAGTTTATCCAATTTTCGACTTAGTGCCATTCAACTGGTCATTTATGCAATGTCATCTGACCAAACAACATGTTTTACTTATGAGAGGAAAAAGTTTGTTAAGTGAAGAGACCAAGATTTGTCTCTTCTAAGAAATAAACATTTTTAACAGTGCACCAGAGAGTAGGAAAAAAAAGGTTCATTCCTATCTCCCTTACAGATACTTCATCTTCTCTGTTCCAGATATTGTGAAGCCAAAATCTTCTCCATCCTAACTCTCTCTTAAGTGCTTATCTTCTTATCCTTTTAGTCCTTATGCTAAGACACTGTTGCTCATCCTGAGAAGGGAAATATTTCAAGGTACTAGGTGAAATCCAATATGGTATATCATAAAAGTAGGTATGTACGTGTACCTTTCTCTGTGTAACTGTATGAATCATGTAACAATGTTAGGAAACAAGTTTGTAAATACAGCAAGTTATTTTCTACCACTCTTCCTGGACCTAGTTGGCACAATGAAAAAGAAAGCGTCCCAGCTACATTTAAACCAGAAATGAAGAGGGAGTAAGTGGGAGAAACCCGTCTCTCTCCTTTTATTTCTTCCTTTTTAAAACATTCATCAGCATATGCCTCATTTTAAATGCAACAAATGTAAATATACTTTTCCCTGCACAGAATTTTAAGTGAAAGTCCAATGGTTTGGAGGGCGGTCTAAGTCTGCCTAACAGATGCAAACAGTCTTGTGGCTTCAGTTCCATCTTTGAGTCCCCTAAAAAGATTTGCTATGGCCAACAAAGAAAACTGTCACACCTTTTCCCATCACCGCTTTAATTTATGCTCAGTCTCCAAGGTTTTTTTTCATATTGATTTGATAATCACTTTAAGGCAGAACATTTAAAATAAGAAAGAACTCGTGAGTAGGTTGAAAAGGGGGGTCTTGCAGGCCTGCCTCAATATGGTGAAAATGGGAGGCAAAAGGGAGCCAGGGCTGTAAAGGTTGTTTTGTAAAGTGGGTTTTTATTATGCACCGACTCTCTCCGCATTTACTTAACTCTTCACGGGCTGTTGGGTAGGTTAACACCCTTCAAGGCCTCTTTCATGTCCAATACCTCGTTTGTTTGTAAAGGAAAATGAGCCTTTAACACATTTGGATTCAGAAAAAAGAAGACAGCCACAGAGAAAATTTTATTTTTCTTAATAAAAAATCAGTATATCCTTTCCCCTTTCCTCAAATGAGTCCTCAATCCATTAGGAGCCTGAAGATCTACAGTCTGTGAACCTGCAGGTATCTCCTCCATAAGTTCCATTTTGGGTAGCAATACAGGACCTTCCCACAATTGGGGCAAAAGAGAATGCTCATAAGAGTTCTTGTATGTTGCATGCAGAATAGCTCCTTGGAGCTCTACAGAAATCGGCTTGGCACTATGGTCTAGTTTTCTCCACTTAGAAAGTATATGTTATATGCCTTGTTGGGTTCTCAAACAGCTTCTCATTGTCTTATAACAAGGTGAAAGACTCAGGTGCTGTGAAGTGTCGTACTTTGTAGTGATGTAAAATGTATACCTTAGGACTTACACAACTTTTACATTGTGGTTATTCTTGCAATTTTTTTGTTGAAGTTGTGTTTGCTGGCAGGCTTGTCCCAATGCAATGACAGTTTTTAAATGTCTACTGAGATAGGATTTAAAGTTGGATCATTCTGAAAGACTGTCTATGTGGTCAAACCTATCAGAGTTTAGTGATCTTATTTCTTTTTCTTTTATTAAGGGTTCTGTGGAAGCCCAGTGTGGGCTTGTTCTCAATGGCCAAGGTGGAGTAATAAGAAGAGGTAAGTAAGAACATTTTGACCATAACCATTCTTAGTTTAGTTTAAAGATCTCACAGTGCTTATGAACATCAGGTTCCTTGTCTGCTGATTATGAAAACAATTACTCTTATTCAATAATTGATGCTCCATATGAGCATATCTACATTAAAAATCTTCCTTTTTCCCTGTGAGGCTTGACCACAGACTGAACCCAACAGACTCGTGCTAGGAGATATTTGTTGATCCTCACAGAACAATGACAAAATCAAAGTTAGAGAGGAAAAAAACTGAGGCTAAAAAACACTTTTCACACCCTTTTCTATCACCAATACCACATCCTGGAGCAGACTTTCTGGTTTCTTTTAGTCCTAATGTGTCAGCCACAGCCTGGGTATTTGAGGTGATATTGTTAGCTTGAGGCTTTGAGAGATTCTATGAAAGGCTTGATCACTGAGGCTTTAGGGGAGGTTAATGAAACACCAATATTGTAGCTGCCTTATTTCTGTAAGAGTCCAGAACATTTCTTTCTTTAAGGCAGGGTGGGAGGAGGAGGTAGTGTTAACTGTACTGGATAAAGCTTTCTTGTTCCCATCTGTTGAGGAAAACATCTGAATCCAGAGTTACCCATGGAATTGGAAGGTGGGGGGAAGGCGAGAGGAGAGGAGAGCTGCTGCTTTCAGCTCAAGCACTGAAGGGGGCTGCATCTCAGATGTTCCATTTTGACAAAAGGTTTTGAACTCTGACACTCACAGGGCCTCCAGGCAGTGCAGATTTGTGTTGGCTTCCCCTACTTAACTGTACCCAGAGCCTCTGAAGTTCATTTTCCTAGCATTCTGAGAAACCCGAAAAGCATACAAGGCAAGAGGGACCAGCTGTTATCCCAACTTCATACGAATTAATAAGACATGGCCCATTCACCAAGGCTAATTCCTGTTTCAGGGCCACAGTTGTCTTTGGTAACTGCGCCACTAAAACTGAGTCATTTCTGATGGCGGAGACCCAGTCTTTCTCCATTACTTTAAAAGATTCTTAAATTATTTGCTCCTCTGGAGACAAAAGTGTGCTGGCAGAAAACAGAAAATATTTTTGTTTAAATTGCGTATTTTACAATCCAATATGGGTATTTAAATCCAAGAAGAAAGAAAACAAAGGATCCTTTCCTTATAGAACTTGGGTGTTGTCATAGTATATACTTGGGTTTTACAATAAATTTAAAAGAGCTATTCAACTCTTAAAGCACAATCTGTGGGTATTACTACACCCAGATTTTTTTTTAAACTGAGCACTGTTAAACTTGCCAGTCAGGTCAAAACCCTGTCATATCAAAATGAGAAGAAATAGGTCCAAGACCGGTGAATATTAAAATTAACTAGCTACACTATTAGGCAGGTTAAAAAGTACGCGATAAGAAAAGGTTCCAGTGAGACGGATGATTGGGGTCTGGTTAGGGCGTTAAAAGGGATGGTGAGGCCCTGCGCTCTGGGCGCACGGAGATGTCGGTGGTGCTGAAGGACAGCGCCACTAATTAGGGAATGGAACGGGCTCCTGGGCTCCTCGGAGAGCGCGCTCCCGCGGTCATTCGTATTCAGTTCCCTACTTGCTTAAAGACCACCTTCTCCAACGCTTGAAATTACATCCTATTGTGTAATGGGTGGCAGAGGGTGAGAATCACTAGAGGCCGAGGGCGGGAGCTGGAAATGCCACTACTGCAGTGGAATCCGTTGAATTTTCAGATTTAGCCGACATGTCCTTCTTCCGTTGCTCTCTCCAGATAGGCAAAAGTGTTTAGTTATCCACAAGGTGCGAATGGTGGTCTTACTGCAGTCGTACTATTGATGATTATTAGGAGATGATAATTGTTCTTGTAGAATTCAGTACCTATTTCATCTAAAAATCATCTTTTACTCTGGCACTGTAAAATCAGACGCTGATTTTGTAGAACAGCATAACTCCAAAGAGAAAGGAGATGGGGTTTAGGTCTGTGTTGTTTAATTAAACACCCCCCCACATACACACCCTAAATAACTGAGAATTTGGCCCCTGAGTTTATTTCATTTTGTTCTTTTTAGCAAAAGGCCAGTTAAGCTGTGTGGGGCCTGGAGAGGAGCATGCGTGTCTATGCCTGTCTTCTACTCTGAATGTATCACTGAAATTCATGACAATTTGGAAGCCAGTGATAAGGAAGTGCTTCTTTAAGAAAGGAGTATATACATTTTTTTCATCCATCCCCTTATCTAAGGACATTATTTTTAAGGAAATGCCTAGGAATTCCCTTCTCTCTGTTGTCATCATTGTGCACAGACTTCTATACCAACAGCTCCAATCACCTTTATTTATTATAATCAGGAGCATATAAACTAATGTACTCTGCTCTGTCTCCATCCCTCTTACAGCCCAGTGCTGTAAGCTTCAATGAGAAGGTCTGTTTCTTTCCCAGCCCATTCTTTACAGATGATTCTGTAGACAAAATACATCATTGTTTTTGAAAAGCACAACTTTTTAACATTATCCAATCTCTCCCTAAGTTCTTGGATAATTTTATATTTCTAATGATATCCAGAATTTACAGCAGTAGGAAAAAAAGATAGATGCTACTTTCAAAGACCTCCCCAAATGTTCCTCTTGAAGAGAGACACAAGTGTGTGTACCCTAGTGGGTTCACAGGGGAAACTCTTGGTCTGCAGTAGGGTGCAGGGTGGGTGATTGTCTGCTCTTTAAATTTGGCCACTTGTAAAAAACAAAGTGCCATTCCTGACTCACTTCGGTAGGTAGCAATTATATTGTTTTTGTCCATAATGAGGGCCTAGTATGGGGAAAATACGTGGAAAAGAGGCAGCAGTAAGGTAATTACCACCTAGATAAAATATTTGCCACCGCCTTGGAGGCCTAGCTCCCCGCGCGCTCACTCTCGGTTAATGGTGTGCGCGATTTTGCCCGCAGCTCCGCCACTCCAACCATCAGAACCAATAATCTTTACTTTACCCTGTGCTCGCGTATCGATAGCTTCTTTCGCCTCGGGCGTTGGCTTTGATATGTTAATATTTCTGAGTAGCAAATTCTGCAGAGATCATATTAATGTTGTACGTACAGAGTGGAGCTTTGCCTTCGTTGAATATTCAGATACTGGGTTTCAAAAGGCATCTCTTGAAGAAATGAGACTTCTATTTACAGGAGTCGTCTATGTTTTTAATCATTAAAAAAGAAAAAGAAAAGAAAAGAAAGGAAAACCCATTCTTCCTTTCCCGGTGAATCTTCTGAGGATCCCCCGGCCCCCCCTTGTCAGACGACAGTCCCTTTCATTTCTTGCTCTGAGTATTTAATAATAAGTGAGCAACGCTGATGACGAGAAGGAGAAGGAGGAGGAGGAGGAAGAGGAGGAGGAGGAAGCTAATAATGAAAGGATTCAGACTGGAATTTCGGGCGAGGGCTCCCTTTGGGTAGGGACTGTGGGCTCCCGGTAGGTGCAGCAGCGCGATGAGAACATCCAGTCTTTCCACTTGTAGGTGTAAAATGACATTTTGGCCCGGTCTCTTTGTGAAATCAGGATGGCAAACTAAAAAGGGGGGAGGGGGAGATGAAAAAAGTGAGGCAGGGAAGCGCCCTTGTTTCGTCTTGTGATCATTCCGCCTTGCAGCCCCAGGCTAATTTCAGAAGCTTAAATACCGCCGTAGCCTCTGGGCCAGCGGAGAGGGAGAGGACCGGCCACTGGCTGGCAAGAGCGCTTTTCCCATTGCCCGTGGCTACACAAAATACAAACTACTTTGAATCAAAACATTTTTGGGGAATTAATATGATTTGAACTCTGCACGTTTTAAAGGAGCTGGAGTTTGTCAAATCGCTTAGAGGTGACTGGCGTGCCAAGGCGGAGGCCCTGACATTGCGATACAAACACTGTCAGCTCTGATTTAAGTTTTTAAATGCTTCCGTGCAATGCATCTTTGCCTTCACTCCCCTTGTCTGCCAATGCTAGGGTGGCTGGAACTGACCACCTTTCATTTCTGCAGCCTTAACGTCTGCTAGCTCTGTACTGGGTCTAGAGATTGTGCCTTTCTTTGCGTCTTCTTATTTCGCCAGGGCCTTGAGTTTTGGAATTCTGATTGAAGTGAGAATCTTTGGCTCTTGCTCAGAAGGGAAGGGGAAAAAAATGGCGGGAAGCCTTGATTCTCTTCCTCTCTCATCACCCCTAGGGTAAAGAATGCTTACCCAAATCTCATCTCTGTGGGTAAAGAAGAGAGCCAGAAAAGCCCTTGGAGCCTCACCTGTCTCCTTAACCCCACAACCAGTTGCTGCAGATTTGAATTTCAGTGTCCTGTAGATGAAGCATAAAATGCATATGCCCTAAGGCACAATAGGTGGATGACCAGGCATTGGTGGTGGTGGTGTTCATGGTGATGATGGGAAGCAGTGGGGGTTACTTTTCTCGCACCCCATTGCCTTCATTCCTCTAGTTTCTTTACTATTTTGCAAATCAAAACCAAAGCCCTGTGCACTGGAAGTGGGTATTAACCTCCTCCCAACACACACACACACACACACACACACACACACACACACACACACCACTATGCGCTCATTGTCCTATGCAAACCTGCCTCTCATTTATTTATTCTGCTGGATTCTGCACTGGGAGGAACTTGTCCAGTCACCGTAATCCCAAATGCTGCCGTACCTGTGATAGTTCATTCCTCCTGCCGACTGCACACTCATGGCTGGCACATCAAAGGCCTACTTGATGGCAATTAAGCTCCCGCCCCTTTGCTGTTTGAGTACAGTTAATATCTGCTGCCTGGGGTAGTGGGTGAGTGTGGGGGAGCTGAGCTGAGGGAGAAAGGCTAGGAGGGAAGTAGTGAGATGCTTCTGCCCCACTAGGCTCTCACATGCACACCTCACAGAACTGCAGCTACAGAACAAACAGGGACAGGAAACTCTTGTAATCGCTTACACATTTTTAATGTGTCAGAAAAAAAACGAGCGATCACTGGAGATGAAGAAAGGGAGAAAAAACTCCCTGCCGTTTGTATTTCTTTCATTTGAATTGTAAACATCTGTTTGGCTGTAAGGCGAACAGAACATTTATTTTGCTCCCAAGATTTGGTCTAATTATGTCAACACCGACGCAGCGCCCGAGTGGGGCGGCGCGGCGACTCTGGAGGAGCTGTGCGCGCAGGCTGGCGTCTGCCGAAGCCCGCGGGGAAGTATTGATTGTACCTGGAGAGCGCAGGAGCCACTTGCGAAGGTTGAGGGCGTCCCGAAGTGGGGGAGGGGGAGGAGAAGGCCCTAGCCCAGAGCCAGGGTGTACAGATGCCTGGGAGCCACAGCTCCTTAGAGGAAAAGCGGGCCGGCCAGAGGCTTCACATTCCAGTACAGCAAAGCGGTGTGTGGGTTTTTCTTTGGCTTCAAAGTATGCACTTTGAGACCGGCAGCTGCTCAAGACAATGGCAGTCATTGAGTGGCCTTCACTCAGGCTGCTGAACGTGTGCGCCCAATTTCCATCAAACCTCCTTCTCCACTGGAGAGATGAACATGGTCAGTTTTCTAACAGGCAGATTAAAACCCAGAGAATTACTCTCCAAGGTCGTAGGGCCAAGTTTCTTGTTGGCCTAGTTCTTACTTGTAGTCTAGTACTTTTCCCATGATCCCACCCTGTGTCCTCAGACACACTTTCCTGTAGACACAAGGACAAATGTCCACATCTACACCAAAGAGGATGTAGACCCCCACTTTTCCAGGTTATCCAGAATCTGACACAGATGAGAGCCGTGGGATCTGCATGGAAATATTCTGTGCCTGGTTTTGTCATATACATTGTAAATCTTTGGCTAACATCTTGTAGCTTGGGAAAATCATCTCTTTTACAAAAAACAATGTCCTAGAAGTGGTCTTGTGTAGATAATCCTTGATTTCGTACACTCTTACCATAGCTACTTGTCAGTGTGCAAGCATCACTGGAAATAGGAAGCCTTGTCTCCAAATTTCAAATTTAAAAATAGTGACCTCCGTGGAACTATGGTGGCTGTGCATTGTGACTGGAAAAGAGATGAACTCAGGAAGTTCTGCATAAACATGCTGGCTCTGGAATGCAAGATCCCAAACTGGGGTGCTGAATTTAAAATAGACATGCACAGTCACAATGGGACATGCACCACAAGGAGCTTCAGCTGATGACCCTGGAGACAGCTGCTGAATGGCTCAGTGCAATGTACTCTCATGGCCTTTCTTCTTCAAGGTCACATCACTGCCATCCATAGTTCTCATCCCCATAGAGAATGCCATGCCTTCACCCCTTCGACACCTTCATTCCAAATGCAAACATACTCTGGCTGTGTTGACCAGTTATCTTTTCCTACCTCCCTAAAAAGTAAACCACTGAAAAGAAAGGTATCATGTTCCCCAAGTTCCTGTAAACTCTACAAGTTGCCAACTCTTTAGCCAGAATGAGAGAGTTCCCCAAGGCTGCAACAATGCCAAGTATCAAAGCAACAGAAATTCCCTTTAAAGATACTGTGACATAAAAAAATAAAAGACTCTAGAATTGATGGCTAATCCTGAATACAAAATAAATCCTTCAGGCAATTTGTATGTGCATAAGGCATACTCTTAATATGCAGCCTGCATAACTTACCTAATATATGCCTATTTGAGGATAAGCCATAAACCTAACCTGGATGCATGGCCCAGGCAGTTAGCACGTGGCTAGAAGTAGATTCAACATTTTTCCAGGGATAGCTGATTTTTAATGCCTAGGGTTTACTTTGCCAAATGAAGGGTGCTTTCTCATAGGTAAGAAAGTGGCTTAACTCCTTTTGCAAAAACCATAACCATCTGCAACCCTCTATATTGGGTTTCTGACTTCCCAGAAATTTGTAAAGATAGGAAAGGCCCAAAATTTTATTCTTCCCTTTTTCTTAGTAGCTAGAAACCATATGTATGCAATATATAGTGAATGTTTAAATGTTAAATGTATTATTATAAAAGACACAACATTGTCCATAATGCCCCTCAAAATATTACTCCTCCCTTTGAAAACACTTATCCCATCATTCATGCCATTTTTTGAATTTTTTGTTTGTTTTTTTGTTTTTGATACTAGGGATTGAATTCACCATTTCAAGCTTGCCAAGCAGTCGCTTATGCCACTGAGCTAAATCCCCGTCCCTCTTTCCACTTTCTGAAGCAGTCCTGGGAATCCTTTTCAAAACCATCTTTTCAAGATATGCACAAAACTATAGGGAATTCAATAGATATTCATTCTCATAAAAACGTTACAGTGTGTCCTCACCCACTTTATTCACTGGATCTGGCTCTTCCTCAAAGTCAAAGTGACCAAGAAAAGTAAACATTTTGAAGTAATGCAGGATGTAGAAACAGTCATGAAAGCTTACAACCAAAGATACCCAGGAAAGACTTCAGGTCGCTTCAGAAAGTGGTTAGAACTACCGGATAAGTGTGGTTAAAGCAATGGGACATATTCTGAGAATGTACAGAGGGGAAGTTTGGGTGAATTTGTTTCTAGTTCCTGTGGAAAGTGGTTTACATAGTTTTCTGTGGTGTTGACTACATCATACATGAAGAAAAAGATTTCAGTTTAGCAATAATGACCTCTCTCTACCTTCACACCAAAGGCAGGATTCCAGGAACTGATATGAGAAATTTGGCCACTTGGGCAGGACCTGGCTCCCAGTCCAAAACATCTGTCCTGACACTCTGACTGTCCATATTCTTATTTTGGAAGATATTTGAGGACATTATCAGCTCCAGAACACATAAGGTGAAACACCATAGTTTCTAGCACTTTGAGTAGGGGAAGTAAGGATGACCAGTTGCCAAAAGGAATTGCAAAAATTATGTGAACGGAATTATATTCAAAGTACCTGAAGGTTCACATATTCTTTCCTCTTTACCCTTTTAAACATCCTCCCAGTTTCTAAAGGTACTATGCCCAAGGAACACACCTGAATCTGACTGCTAGTGACTGATATAATAGTTCATCTATAAGGCTTAGTAAAAAATGATGGGTTATTGGGAGGCAAGGACTAGGACTTGCCATTTTTTATAGTTCAAATTTTAATGAGCATATGTACTATCTAAAGGTCTTATTAAAATGCATATTACAGATCTGAATGTCTGGCACTGGGTTTGAGATTTCACATTTCCAACAAACTTTTTCCTAGGATGCCAGATAACATTTTTCTACTTGTTTTTCTTCATTCACCTACTTTTTCTTCTCTCTCTCTCTCTCTCTCTCTCTCTCTCTCTCTCTGTTTCTTTTGCTTTCTTCTTTCTTTTTCTTTTTGTCATTTTTACCACATAGAACTCCATTCTTTTCTGAATATGAATCTAAGTTTTTCCATCACTAAAGAAAATACATGCGTGCGTAGAAAAGTCAACTTTGATTTTGAATTGGCTACTGGTCCTTAAAAACTCTTCTCTCAGATATGTCATTGCACACATGCAGAAAAGAGCAGACCCAAATTGTAGAACCCTCAGCCTAGCAGGGCAGATAGACATTGGCTCAGGACCTTTGCAGTGAGTGTGAAGTTTGCAGCAGGAAGCCTTCCTCAGTTCTTTGGATTCTCAAGCTCATTTTGTTCTGTGGTAGCTGCTTGAGATTAAAGAAGCTACTGCACTGTTTCAAAGCAAAGGTGAAGCTGAAAGAACCTGGACCTTGGACATAGAAAGCTCTTGTTCCAGGGATTCCAGCATGGCAAAACTGTTTTGGTAATTTTGCTATTAGTAATTATCTTGCCTTATACCATAATAACAGTAATAGTCACAATAGTCACAATAATATTATTCACAACTAGCATTTAGTAAGTGTTACTATCGTTGTGTCTAGTATTGTGTTGTTTGCCTGTGTGGGCTGATACTAGAGATTGGCGTATGGTACGGTGATTTGATCCATCATCACCTGTATGGGCTGGAAATTTTTGGCTATTGACAGACAACTGTTAGCAGTACATGAGAATAGAGTAATTGTGCTGCCTTTAGTTGGTGGATGAGAGAAAGGATTTAATTCTCAAATATGTTGGGTAAAATAGCCATTTGAAAAGTTTTTACCTAGTGTGTGTATATATACAGTCACAAACATCTATGTATAAATAACAGCTCCATTTTATAGGCTTAGCTACTAAAGTTTAGGTTTTTAATTAATTGAGGTCTTTCTTGATGTGATGATGGCAGGATTTACACTGATGATTTACCCATATTCCATAAGAGGTCAATTTTCCCCTGAAATTACAACTGTGCCCTCACAATGATGTGCTATGTAATACTGAAAAGCCAAAACCTTCATCAGTGTTAGGAAGGACATCTTCAGAGCAGCCTCCTGAGATGCTGTGGGGTGATGTGCAAGTACAATTGCCATGAATTTCCGACAATCAAGCCATCCTCAATATCAACTTCTCCTCACTGACTTATCTTCTCTTTCGCTGACATATCATGCACTGTTTCCTCCCAGGTGGCACTTGTGTGGTCAACCCCACCGACTTGTTCTGTTCTGTTCCTGGCCGTTTGTCTCTCCTCAGTTCTACTTCTAAATACAAGGTGACCATTGCCGAGGTAAAGAGGCGCCTCTCACCCCCTGAGTGCCTCAACGCGTCCCTCCTGGGAGGCATCTTGAGAAGGTAAGACAAGCTGTTTTTTGACCTGTGTGTCTCTAACTGTACTGATACCCTCAACCCTCCAAGTTTATGTCTTCCTTCCCGTGGAATATTCCTCATGTAGTGAAATCTTTTCACATTTGCTTCAGGATGTGAACTTTCAAAACCTAGTTTTTGTTTCTGAACAGGGCAAAATCAAAGAATGGGGGCCGCTGCCTGAGAGAGAAACTGGACAGACTCGGCTTAAATTTGCCAGCAGGGAGACGGAAAGCAGCCAATGTCACCCTCCTCACTTCCTTGGTCGAAGGTATGACCTTTCAATTCTGCAAAGCCATGATGGCTGTCTGGTAACCAATTTCAGGTTTGTTCGATTATGATATCTTACTTCTGTTTATGCAGTTAAGCAAGAAACTTAACACTTACAGGTAAATTTTCTAATTAATTTTGGCAGTAATGATTAACCAATTTAATATAAAACAGATAAATCATAGAATATCAATTAATTATGAACACTGGCAGTAATAGGGAGGAAGATAATAGAAGATATAGGTTTTTTCTTTTCAAGTATTCCCTAAAAAATAGCAACAAAAATCTGGCAGTACATTGTCATTTTTATTTTTATTTCAAAATTTAGAAAAATCTAATCGTGCATTGTGATTCAATGCAACATGATTCATGGGATAAATACATCTTTATGAAAAGTTCACAGAAGCCTAGCCAGGATCCTGATCCCGAAAGTGTGTTGTATTAATCCTTATAGATATCTTTAAGGCAGCTGTAAGTTCCATGGCTTTGTTGGGGGATGAGCTGAGTCAGAGAAAGGTTAAGTTTACCCAGTATAATAAAAGAAAGAGAGGTGCAAATATATTCCCAGAGGTCATATTTCCAGTTTACCTTCTCTTCTTTGATTCTTCTGTTAGAACTAAACATTACACATTCTCATGCAATCACCTTTAAGGAGAGTTGTTATTGGATACTACTTTTTAACTTTATAGAAGAGTTTTTTAATATCAATGAAAAATTCTTCCATAATCCAGAATTCGATAGCATCAAATATGAATGACGGAGGCCTTTTTTGGCTAAACCTCACCTGAAAACCCCTGTGACACTTTTCTTGAATCAGCTACTTATCTAATATGGTTATACAGGGAATGGTAAGTGGGTAAAACACAAAAACAAACATTTGCTATTTTTCCATATTGTCAATATATAAAGTTTAATACATAACATTAAGAAATAGTGCATTTTTCACATTAGTCTCTGTAAAATGCTTTGGTGATTTTGCTATTAACTGTTGTCTGAGCTGTGTCCTCTAATAATTACTAATGACAACAGCAATACAACAATAATGTTAGTGTCAACAAGGATTTAATAAGTGTTATCAACTGAGCATCTCTGACCCCAAAATTCAAAAACTGAATTATTCCAAAATCTGAAATATCTTGACCTCCAGCATGACACTCAAGAAATTTGGAGCCTTCAATCATTCAAGATTTTAGGTTTACAGATTAGAGATGTTAAACTAGTATGCAAATATTTCAAATATGAAAAATATTCCAAAGTATAATATATGAAACACTTAGGTTCCAGTCACCATAGATTAAAAAAAATACTCAACCTGTACTATGCTGTAATGATTTTCTGTTCTATTTGCCTCTGTTTGCTGATGCTGAGGGCTGACTTATATGAGAGAAATTTGATTATCATTCACCTCTATTGGCTGGTGGTACTGAAAGAAGGAAAAAAAACATAAAATTTTAAAAGATTAAGTGGTTGATACTGGATAGGTTCCTGTACTTTTAAAATAAACATGTTAAAATTATAGTTGTTTTTAAAAAAGAGGAGATTCAACAATCATGTAGGCCGTAGTACTTGAGTGGTTCTCAAGCACACTGCACAGAATTAAAGTGACAGTGTGTATTAGGCATCGCATGGATCACAACTAAACCAGCTGAAATTCAAAGTTGTAGCCCAAGGATCTGAGTAATTTCCAAACTTCCCAGTTTGTATAGTGTGTAATGATGTTTCAGTATCACTGATGATCATTGGGATTTTTCTGCTACCCTAGTGAGACTTACTATGAAAGCTCGTGAAACTTAAAACTAGTCTGAAAGTTAAAGACACCCCCCCCAAAAAAAAATCCCTTTTCTTTACTGCCTGTGAAAGTACTGGCCAAAGCAATTGGAAGAGCCATGAAGAGTATGTTTGCAATTCTTCCTGACTTTTGTGGTAGTCAGGTGCACTAGGACAGCCTATGTTGCAATCATTGATTTGTACCACCACAAAGAACACAGATCAAATATATAAAATGGACAGATTGATCTCTGGGACCTATTAGCATACTTCTACCATAAAAGTGACCCACTTTGGTTCTCTTCTGGCTTCTCTTCACACATAACCATTAGTCTTGGCTCATGAAACAAGATTTTATTTTTCCCAGATGTATTTTATCTTGAGTGATTTTGAAGTCTCCAAATCTTCATGATGTACAGAAATATTTTACAGTCCAAGCACTTTGATGGAATTTCTGAAAAAAAGACTGCAGGGCAAAGGGACATTTTGCAACCCTCAAATTCTTGCATATGACCCACAAACACAGTCCCGCGTAAACATTATTTTAAAGTAACATTAGAGTTTGGTCTAACACACTTGTTGTCCCAGCTGCTTGGGAGACAGACAGGATGATGAACAGAAGGCCAGCCTAAGCAACTAAGTAGGATCTTATTTCAAAGTACAATTTTAAAAATCTGGGGATTAGTTTAGTGCTCTCGAGGTTCAATCCCCACAAAACTTACATTAATATGTGCAACTTTCTCTAATACTCTATTCTGTATTTTTGTGTTCTTTTTAAATGTCCATTGTAAATTCACTAAATATATTTTACATCTCAATATTTATGACCCATAGTTTTAAAAACAAGTTATTTTAGGAAACAAAAACTAATATCTGACAAGTACAGCTATTCTGGATAAATTGATACAGGCTTCATTATAATCGTGAGCTGAGAAGAAAAGCAAAGACTTTCAGATTAATCTTCTCATTAAACTTCAGCTGGGTTGGTCCTGAGAGCTGATAGTTCATTTTCATTGGCCTTTGAAGTCCAATTCCAGGGTAATAGTAACCCAACTCTTACCTCACAATCTCCTGAAGTACATAACCCGGTTGATTCTTTCCTGCCTTTTTGGGACTTCGATCTTTTCTTGGCCAACATGGATCTAAACTGTATTTAGTTTATATTGTTTTTTTTTTCTGTACAAACTGTACCATACTTTTAAATAGATTTTTGAATTGAATGTGCCAAGCATAGTATTTTTGTCATCAAATAAATACTTTTGCAAGACCCAATATCATTTTAGATTTTTTTCTTAGAAGTTTTGAAGCATAGGTTTCTGGTAAATTATGGTCTGTCAGCTTTTCAGCTTTTTCATAGACCTATAGCCTTGTGAGAAAGGACAGTACTAACTTTTTTTTTGGAGTTTTTTGTTGTTGTTGTTGTTGTTGTTGTTTTGTTTTTGTTTTTTTATCGGTACCAGGGATCAAACTCACAACCACCTGCTCGCAAGGCAGGTGCTTATGCCGCTGAGCTAAATCCCCAGTCCAAATTTTGAAAATTTATTTTGACATACCCCATTTATCTCCTGAACTTTCTACATTAATCCATCCTCACATTTTAAATACTAACCAAGCGACTTACATTCTCTGAAACGTGTCTTAAAACTGTTGCTTGAAACTTTTATGGAGTAACCTAAATGCAATAACACTGGCAAATTCTCAAAAATCCTAATGTCCCAGTGTATTAATAAGGTTTAATTATTCTTCCACATTTTGATACAGTGCATGGACAAAAGAAAGCAAATATACAGTTGACTTTATTTCTTAAAATAAATCTTATAAAACTCAACTTTTTTCTTAAAAAAAAATCTTATATGCGACTTTACAGCCCTAACTGGCTCTCAGTGTAGAGATGAACAACCTTTATAAAGATTCAGTGAATGACAATTAAGGTGCTTTATGATGGGATTCAAATTGGCAAGTGAACTTTTGTTTCTCAAAAGAGCCTCTGTCACCAATATATAGGTTTCCATGCTTGCCTTAGATTTTTAATTATTTTAAAAACTACATTCTTTTTGAGTAGAGTCATTATTTTTAGGCATCATTGTAGAAATTTATAGGGCAAGACTATTGCAAATACACAACTTGTCCTAATAATCCATGGCATCTCTGTTACAAATATCCTGGTACATAGTAACCAATGAAATGATGAACTAGAGAAGGATAAACAATTTTTCTCTTACAAAATTGTTTTTAAAATGAACATTTTAAGCAGATATTTTGAGAGAAAATTTTCTGGGTTCACTTAACATGGGCATATTTAACCTGAAATAAAACAGAAATTTTTAAATACAGAACTCTATAAATATAACACCAGATCTTACTCTCTTTTTACTCACCTGTCTTCATCTAAGAAAGTTTAAATATGTAACTATGACAAATTGTTAAACTCAACTTTACAATAAGCCTGTTTTCCTTATTTCTCTTTGTTAATCACAATCATGATAACTTCATTGTCCTACAATATCAGCAGACGTCTATTCCTGGGATGCAGTGTATGGTGGCCTATTGTTTTTGCCTCCAACGCACTGATCTTCCTGAGGATACACTGAGATAATTCCAGACTCTCTTGGAGTACAAGTAGTTTGTTTCTAGCAGTCATTTAAATAACCTGGCCTATAGTATTGTTCTAGTCCTAACACTCTGGCGTATATTTATTTATGAGTCTCCAGCTTCATGTTTTACTCCAGAGCGAAACACTTGCAGAGTTAGTGGTTGTTCAATCAATCCCAAAGAGTTAGTGATTAGTACTCATTGCTACCCATCTGTCTTACCTCACCTACCATTTTTCATGCTGACTGATACTTCAGTGTTGTTTGCACATTCTGTTTGCCAGAGTGGGATGTTTTGGTGAAACAGTTTTGCTACTTTTGTAAAATTCCAGGTAACATTTGCAGGCAACACCAAGGGCTCTGAAAATACCATTTATTTAATCCCTTTGGCATAAATGTCTGGAGCTGCAGTTTGTTATGACAGGAAGACAAATTCTGTGTGTGTTCTATTTGTGGGTTTATAAAGCAGTGTGGAACTGTGGAAGTATAAATATACATTAGTAAAAATGTACAATCTCCAAAACATCATGTGATCTCCATTCGGTCTTTTTTTCATTTAAATATTTTATTGCCATTGCTTTCTCCTTTAGATATAAAACACACACACACACACACACACACACACACACACATATATATATGA